TTTGCACAAGGGAATCCATGTTTGTATTTTGTTGTTGTGTCTGCAAATTGTGTAACTGTGGCCACCAGCAACACATGGATTTATTCCTTAAAATTTACACACTGGGACAGAGGCGATGACTCACTGGGGAAAATGCTTCCTGTGCAAGCATGAGGACCCAAGTTCAGACCCCCAGAAGTCATGTAAAGTCAAGTATGGTGACATGCATCTATAGCCCCTGCCCTGGCAGTGGAGAGGTAGGCAGATTCCAGGGGCTTGAAGGCCAACCAGGAGAGCTGAATCAAAGAATCCAAGCTCAAAGAGACCTTGAAGAAAAGATGGAGAAGAAACTGAGGAAAATATCCTGCCACTAACTTCTGGCCTCCACACACTCAGCAGGTGTGCACATACTTGAATATATATATATGCGCACATGGATGCACGCGCATGCACACACACGCGCTCAAGTTTATGCATGAGCAATGTGGAGCAACCAAAGCCTCATTCATCGCTGATGGGCATACAGATTAGTTCAGACTTTACAAGACAGAGCAGCAGTTTCTTACAAAGCTGTAAGAACGTCTATCATGATACTTAGAAGTATTGTCCTAGACAATTTTCTGATTTATATAAAACTTTGTTTACATTAAATTCTGCATGTGATTATTCATAGCGGTTTTATTCATAAACTCTTTGTGTGAGAAATAACCCAATGTCCTTTTTCTGGGAAGTGGATAAACAAACAATTAAATGCTACACAACAATAAAAATTAGCTGGCTACCGATGCCCAGGATGGGTGAATCACAGTGCATAGCTAATCAAAAGAAGACAGAAGACAGATTCAGAAGTCTAACCCTGTGTGCCTCTATGAATGAGACATTCAAGAAGAAGCAAAATGTTTTAGGGACAGATACCTGAGGGAGGAGAAGCTACGACGTTGGAAGGACACAGAGGTTTTAGCGGTGATGGGAGTGTTGTTTGGTTATGGTGGTGGCTACACAGCCGTGGGTCTTAGAGCTCAGAGTAGCACATTCAGAAGGATGAATTTTAGCGCATGTAAGTAATAACAATTTTTAAAAAGCTCCTTGGTGTTTATTAAGGAAGCTAGGAACTTCTGTGGTCTTTGTCCATGTCAGAAATCTCAAGGAACTGATCTGGAGTCAAAGGTGGGAAACAAAAGACCCACTGAGTCACAGTGGGGGATTCTGGGACTGGCTCTGGGATTTTGTCAGGTGCTAAAGATGGGCCCAGTGAGACCAACCTGGAAGGTGGCCTCCCTGAAAATCAAATAGAGAAGGTTCTGTGGATAAGTGGGGCTTGGGGCACCTGGCAGTACCCCCACCCCAACACTTCTCTTCCCCACCCACTGCCTTGGCCTCCAGCAGATACAGCTTGGAGAACACCTCACCCTGCCATGCCTTCGCTGGTCTGATTTTATGCAGTAGGAATTAAAATTGATTGGTGTTGACAGGGAATGATCTGCCTGTCTAATTAATATGCCAACTAATTTTCAATTTAATTGCTCATCTCGGGTCACCAGGTAACAAGACTCACTGCTACAGGCCTTGATGGGAAGTGGCAGGGGTGGTGCTGTTCTCCCAGGGCCCAGTCACAGCCTCTAGATCTTCCCAAGCAGTAAACAACCAAACCCTGGACCCCGTGAGACCCTATCCACACCAGCCACCTTCTCAATCGGGGTCTCTTAACCATCTACTGTTTGGATAGACTCTGCTCAATAGCTGCTTTGTGCTGATCCCTAGCTAGGGTAGACATTTGGGGTGCCAAAAGCCAAGACATGCTTTGCCTGCCCCTACTGCCACCACAAATTTCTCGGTCTCCCAGAGAGGATTCTCGCTTGCATTGGTAATTACAAAACAGGTGTGGTTAAGACTGTGCCTGTATTCTCAGCACTCGGCAGGCTGGCGTAGGAGGGTCACTGTGGGTTTAAGCCAGCATGAACTACATTCTGAGTTCCAGGCCATCCTAGACTAGAGAGTGAGACCCCATCTCAAACACACATACAAAGTCTAGCAATTATTGAATCTGGTTGCAGGGAGGGACAAGAGCTTCAGAGAGAAAGGCAGTCCAGACTCTACTATGGGGTGCTTTAGGAATTTAATTAATCTCCCCGTGCCTCAGTTTCTCAAAAAGACATCTCTGCTACTGTCCTGTTGGCCAAGTTGTTATGTAGATTATCTCATATTCTGGGCGTCTGTCTTGATGTCTGCAGATGAATTCTCTGGCCCCCTATAAGCTATACTGCAAAATTAGTTCCCTGCTCAATTAGAGCTCTGTGATCAACTAGTAATGTCTGTCAAGGGTAAGGAATTGGGGGCAGGTAGGAATATTCTTGTTTGTTGACTCTTTTAAAAGATTTCACTGGAAGATCAGGAGCTGGGGACAAGAGAAGGGCTCTGAAGAGGCTAAGTCACACTCAGCGAGGCTTCTCATCATTTTTTAAAGGAGCTGCTTTGTGGGGAAACGGAAAAAATGGTGCCTATAGGCCATAAAAATCTACCGCTCTCTCAAGGGAGGCATTCAACCATTTATCAAGCTAACACAGAGTTGAGTCCAGAGGAGAGGACACCCACCTATTTCTTTCTTTCTGCCCTTCTCAACCTCTGGGACTGGGAATTTACGGAGCTTGAAGAGTAGAAAGGGAAACAGAAAGAAAGGGACCTGCAGAGGAAGAATGGGAGCCTTAGGATCCCAGTGCCTGGGCTTTGTCACCGCATAGCTGCATGATCTAGGGCCAACTACTCAGTCTTTCTGGTCATTAGTTTCCTCTTCTGTGTTTTGAGGGCCAGCAACTCATCTTGCCCTCAATATTAGATTGCCTAAGTGTCCCGTGACTGTCAAGTGTGGGAGAGATCACAGGGGTCGTTTTAGACAGTCTCCAGTTGAAGGGGCGCACATACTACCCCTAGGCATGAATAGCAAATCCCATGGGTGTACACCCTCTATCCTGGGTCTGTCTTACTTGAAGGGGGACTGGACTTAGGTAATGCAGGAAATCAGATAACGTTGGGAGGGGACATGAGTGGAACCCAGGAGTCAGAAAGAGGGAGAAGGCTATGGGAAAGAGAAACAAGCCCACTTCCAGGAGCAAGAAGGGAGAGGGCGGGCGGAAAGCCAAGGAGGGATTAGTGGGTTTGTCCTCAGGGAACAGGGACGAAGGGAAGAGAGAAGCCGAAACAAAGGGAGGCGTGTCTGAACTGTGAATTGGACTCTTTCGTTGTCTGTCCTAAGAGGAAAGAAATTCCTTTTAAAATTGCTTTTCTTAGCCGGGCCGTGGTGGCGCACGGCTTTAATCCCAGCACTCGGGAGGCAGAGGCAGGCGAATCTCTGTGAGTTCGAGACCAGCCTGGTCTACAAGAGCTAGTTCCAGGACAGGCTCCAAAACCACAGAGAAACCCTGTCTCGAAAAACCAAAAAAAAAAAAAAATTGCTTTTCTTGTCTCTGGATTGGACTTTGATTTAAACGTGTGGCTGTCCTGCTGGACCAAGCCACCTGGGCCACTTTTCTACTGTCCTAGAAGCCTAGGTCTGTCTTCCTCCAAAGAGAAGCAATGCCCCAGGGGTACCGGCTCTTCCTATGTTCCGACTCCTCAACACACACACACATACACACAACTGGAGTTTCCTGGCACAGGTCCTTAGCAGGTATTGCCGGAGCCTGGCACTGTCCTCCAGTGTCACCACTCCCACAGTTACATTTTCCTGTCACCATCTGCCACTTAGTCACCACAGGGTTGCACTTAGTGGACTCTCAGGCAGACCAGGTGCCGGGGTAAACGCGGGCGTGAGAGACCCTCCGCCACGGTTAGACGACAGGCAGGCCAGGTGTCAGGGTAAACCCAGGTGTGAGAGACCCTCCGTCACTGATAGACGACAGGCTGGCCAGTAAAACACTTCAGACCCCTCAGCCTCCAGGTAGGAAAGCTGAGATGTGACCCTATCTTAACACACAGAGAACCGAGCCCTAGGTGTGTTCTATCATGTCCAGGAACTCCAGATGGCCACTACAGTGACCTACAAGTTAACCTGCCCAAGACAAGTGTCCTTCCCTTTTCTTAAATTCCCCGTCCCTCTCAACATTGGCTCTCTGGAGTTCCCTTCCAAGCAAGACACCTGTGCCCAAGCCCTCCTCTTAGCCTATTTCCTGTAGAACCCAATTCGAGAAAGGCAGGCTTATGGCTGTTCCTTCTATCCCTCCGCTGGCCTGGATCTGGTCTGGAGAGAAAACACAGGTTACTTCTGCAGAAGTCACAGAGTTCATTCACAAATGAATCCCTGCCTCCAGTCACGGGTTCCCCGGGCCAGCAAGTAATAGCTTGAGCAGCAACCATACTTCCCAAAGGTCAGCTTAAGCCCCGGACTTGGAAACTCTTTGCAGACTGAGAAAACAGGATAATGGCAAATGCTAGACAAAGACACATCAAGGAGGGAACACGCGTGGGAAGGAGGGGTTTTGTTGCCCTTATATGAACCCATCAGAGTTTGAGCCGAGGAGCCCACAGGGAACCAGAGCAGAGTGGTCCTCGCTCCTGTCTGTCCCTTGGGCTGGTGGCGCTGGGGGTCGGGGGTGAGCGAGGAGCAGCTCCTCACTGTAACAAAGGCCCGAGGGACTCCAGGCTCTCAGAGTTGTGCAACTAAGTGGGAAAGCCTGCTCAGCCTGCGGCTGAAGCAGAGGAAATATCCCGTGGTTGACTGTGCCAAGGCAGCGGCGACTGATCCAGCCCCTAGCCTGCGGGCAGGGCGGTGACCCTCCGAGATAAGCCAATCCCTGGGCTGCAGGTGAGGAGCCTTGAGAAGCCTTGTTGGGGCAGTGGGAATCAGTTCTCCAAATAGGCGACAGGTGAGGAAGGGATTCCGCATGCAGGCCAGTATGGGAAGGAAGCCCGGAACTTCCTAGAAATACCTAGAGCCCGGTCCCTCCCTGGTATTGTCTCCTGCATTCTCCCCACATCTGGAAGAGCTCCAGGGCTGGCTTCTCCCCACGACTGAGGGGCACAGCAGCATGAGCCGGTCAAGGCACGTGGGCAAGATCCGGAAACGTCTGGAAGATGTCAAGAACCAGTGGATCCGGCCAGCCAGAGCTGACTTTAGCGACAATGAGAGTGCCCGGCTGGCCACAGACGCCCTCTTGGATGGGGGTCCTGAGGCTTATTGGCACACTCTCAACCAGGAAGGAGAGGTAGACTTCCTGTCCTCGGCGGAGGCCCAGTACATCCAGGCCCAGGCCAAGGAGCCCCCCAGTGGCCCAGATCCAGCAGGAGGGGCTGAGGCGGGTTCCAGAGGACTCGACTCCTGCTCTGTACAGTCAGGAACCTACTTCCCCGTGACTTCGGAAGGCAGCGAACCGGCTCTGCTGCACAACTGGACCTTGGCTGAGAAGCCCTACCTGAAGGAAAAGTCCAGCGCCACCGTGTACTTCCAAACGGACAAGCACAACAACATCAGAGATTTGGTCCGCCGCTGCATCGCCCGGGCCAGCCAGGTACCCATGCTGAGATGGTGTCTGCTTGGCCATGGGCGGGGAACAGGGTTGGTAGAACAGGGCGAGGGGCTGCGTCCTGTTCTCACGGTTTGCCCTGGAGTCCAGACCCCTGATCCCTGTTACAGCCTAGATTCTAGGCCATTGACGCCCATTTCTGCCACTACAATCTCCTGTGTGGGAAGAGTAAGCTTCTTTGCCTGCTCTCCAGCCCTGGTCTCACCGCCTGTCGCTCAACCCTGAGTCCAGTCCGCTGCAGATTCTGCTGTCTCCCGGCCTCTGGCTTCAGGGCTCTGTACACGCTACCTGGCCCCTCGCCCTCCCTGCTTTTCACTTGGCTCATGCTACTCTTAGCTCTGGGCTTCCAAGCGAAGGGTGGAGGTACTTCATTAGGTTATACCCTTGTCCTTTTGTGTCCCCGTCCCGTCCTGTCCCTTCCCGTCCCCCGTCTCATGTGTGTGTCCCGTTCCGTCCCCCTCTCCCCCCGCCCTCTGTTTAGACCTGACTGCCCACAAGTGACATGCGGCCCTTGTTTTTGTTTGTTTGTTTTGTTTTGCTTTGTTTTTTCAAGACAGGGTTTCTCTGTGGCCCCGTGGCCCCTGTACCAGGCAGCTCTAAGGAAAAAAGAAAGAAAGAAAAGAAAAGGTGTGTAGAGAGGGTCAGAGAAACTACTTTCCCTTTTGCCAGAGGGCCATTGTTTTAATAAGACAGTGAGGTAGACTCAGAAAATTCCTTCAGAACAAGGACCCAGCTGATAGGACCTCAGGCATCATGGCAGATGGGGCAGGAGGTACCAGTGCCCCTGAGCACTCATGCCTCCAGTGGCCGCCCCTGTCGGCTGGGGGCTGGATAAAGGGGCTCACTTTCTGGTATCTCTTCTTTCCCACAGGGTTGTAGGTGCCTGCTCCACTCCTTCCTGAAACTGCAGGGCAGAAAATCTGTCATCCAGGGTTGGGGGTGTGGCTCTGTGGTAGAGTGCTTGTTTAGCATATACGAGGTCCTGAGTTCAATAGATCCCCACATCACTGGTGGGGGAGGGAGTAATCATATTGTTTTGTTGTTCTGTTTTGTTTTTCAAGGTTTCAGTGTAGCCTTTGGTTGCCTGGAACTTGTTCTGTAGACAAGGCTGACCTCGAACTCAGAGAGATCTGCCTTCTCTCTCTCTCTCTCTCTCTCTCTTCCTCCCTCTCTCCCTTCCTACCCTTGCCCCCACTGTATTAGTCTCTGTCTCATAAAGCATACATTGATATTTGTGCTCACTTGTGGCTGTGGTCCTGGGCTCGGGCCAGGATCCCCTCCCAGGCTCAACACTGTGAAATCTTAAAGTTCTGGGGAGAGCCACCAAGGCTGAGGACCTGGAGGGTTGTGAGGGAACAGAGTTCTGGAAAATTAAATGTCAGTGGGTGGAGCCACTGTGTGGCAGAGCTGCTTGGAGACTGTATTTCATGACATGGTGGCATCAGCAGTTGACAGATGGGTACTGGGAGCCTGGGAAGCCTAGGGCTGCCCTGTGATACCTCAGACAAATGCCTTGATCTCTTCAGGCTCAGCTGCAATGCTGAACTGAGATCCCTTTGGCCTGTTGCTGAGTGTGCTGCCTCTGGTCTCTTGGGCGACTGCTGGTGCTCTCCTAAGGGAGGGACTTGTGTGCAGGGAATCCTCGGCCTCAGCACCAGCTTTGGGGCCAGTGCAGCACCCTGGAAAGAAGCCACAGCTTGCTGGGAAACCCAGTTCTCTGTCTGAGTCTCACTACACCCTTCCTTCCTTCTCCCCGCCTGGCAGAATCTCTCAGCCTTCTGAGACCCAAGCCCCACTAATGTTCTTTGTATGACATAGTGTGTTATGAATCTTAGGAAACTTGATTATCATCCAAAAGTGTGGACTTCCAGGTCCACTTAACTTGGTCGAAAGGCCTGGATCCTCCAGTGAGTGACGGTGACCTCTTTGGCTGGGTTCCCCTAAATGTCCCTGTTGGCCTGTGGCTCCCTAGGCTTCATTCACACTTATCGCCTTTCTGTGGCTGATATTGTGATATCCTTCACACATGCAAAGCTCGTGTGAGCACACAAGGACACATTCCAACACACACACACACACACAAAGGCTTAAGAGTAGCCTGTTCCCACAGAGATGATGGCAGAGATGGTTAGATCTCTCTTACAAAGAGAGAGAGAGAGAGAGAGAGAGAGAGAGAAGAAGAAGAACGAGGAGGAGGAGGAGGAGGAGGAGGAGGAGGAGGAGGAGGAGGAGGTAGTGGCTCAGGGGTAGCCTGTTTGCATACAGGTGATGGCAGAGCTGGATAGATGATGGACAGGCTATCATAGAAGCAGAATAAGAACAGGGAAGAAAACTGGGCTTGAACTCTGCCATCTCCTGTAACTGCAGCCTCGAGAGGAAAGGGAGACAGGCTGAGGCACATCCCACTCTAGAGCATTCCCCATCCTAAGAAGCAGGACCTGCCCTCCTTCCTTCCCTTTCTGCTGAATTCCTTCACTCTACCCAACCCGGTGCAGCAAAGCAAAGCTGAGATCTCCTTGCCTTGAGGAAGTCCCCATGAGCTGCCTCCCACTGTGGGAGAGGACTGGAGTAAGCCGTGGGTCAAGCGGCAGGTGGGGTTCAGCGTCTGGGAGACAGTGACTAAGGCAGGGTGCTGAGAAGAGGTGGCCTCAGAGCGTCAAAGGCTGAGTAACAGTTTTCCAGAAGAGAAGGAAGGGAGAATTCCAGGCAGAGAAAAGCTAGGTGCAAAGATCAGGAGGGTCAGAGGGTGTGTGTGTGTCCTGGAGGGGGACGATGCCACCATCTACCCTGTGGGACCTCAAGGAGTTGGGAAGGGACAAGGATGGGGGCTGCAAGGCCAGCAACTGTGTTGTGCCTTGTTGGGTTGAAGAGCGAGAATAGCAATTCCCAGGCTGGGTCACAAGTCCCTGGGGGTTCCTGGGGACTTTGCAGTGGTTCTGTGATGCTCTGTTCTTTCTAGGTACTTACCTGTGTGAAAAAACAGAATTTATTTTTTTTCCCTGCTGTAGAATCTCATGTAGCTTCTGATGGTCCTGTTTCTACCCTGCAAGCACCAGGATGACAGGCGGTACCACCACACCCAGTTTACACACTGCTAGGAATCGAACACGGGTCTTGGTACATGCTAGGCAATCACTCTATCAATGGAGCTACGCCTTAATCCCACCCCTGAAAGATTATTTTCCATGCTTCCACTCACAGGGCTGTGCAGCAGGCTGAGGCAGGGAACTGGAGAAGCTACGGGACTCTGGGGAGGCATTCATAGATTAGCAAAAATGTAGAGCATCAGGGCTGGGGGCTGCTTAGCGTGTGTGAGGTCCTCGCGTTGGCCCCTAGCAATGCACACAAACATAGAGTATATGAGGATCAAGGTCATGCTGCCCTCCAAAGCTCTTGAAAATAGTTATTTCCTGAAACCTGTTGTTTATTTTTTATTTTTATTTTATTTATTTTATTTATTTATTTTTGTTTTTTTGAGACAGGATTTCTCTGTAGCTTTGGAGCCTGTCCTGGAACTAGCTCTTGTAGAACAGGCTGGTCTTGAACTCACAGATATCTGCCTGCCTCTGCCTCCCGAGTGCTGGGATTAAAGGCGTGCGCCACCGCCGCCCAGCGACAGAAGTTCTTGACAATCACAGATAGTTGGTAACAATGCAAGAAGACACTCTGTATAAGTTCAGGACCAGCAGGTAAACTGAGGCAGAGATAAAATAGGGTTGTGTTCCTGACAGGAAAACTGCCATGTCAGAACTGGAATGTTTCTTTTAATTCTAGAGTATTCCCTCCTTATCTCTCCGTCCCTCAGGTTATCACTGATGTACACAGACAGACAGTTGGATAAAAGGAGAATCATGGAGCAGGATGAGGACATGGGTTTCCAGAATGGGGTGTGGGTAGCTCTGATCACATCACAGCCCTGTGGCTGTGAAAAGCTGTCTGCACCCCTGGTTCCTCCCTGGGAAGCTGGGGGACCGGTCAAGTTGAGGAAGGCACATGAGACAAGCCTGTGGCTAATAGTAGAGGCTCAGCAAACCTTTGCTGTTGTTAATGGTCTGCCAAAGGCAAGCTCCCCAAAAGAGCCCAGAAAAGCCAGAGCACAGAGCGGTGCTGAGGGTCCCCGGTGCCTATCTGCAACCAGCTCTGACCCCACCACCATCACCTCCTACCCCCGCTTTTCCACAGGTGAAGGATTTCCAGCCTGAGGACCTCCCAGAGCCAGGAATTGGGGTCCACACTGGTTGGAGCAGGCACTGCCCCGTCTGACTTGTATACATACCTTCCATGTCTTCAACGATGCAGGTTTCTGGAGCCAACCTGCAAGGCTTTGCTCACAACACATCCTCCTCCTTTAGCACAAGGGGGCTTCCTTCTCTTTTCTGCTAACCTCATGGAGCCGTAATAATCCATCTCCGTTGCCTGTCCCTGGTACAGATACCCACATCAGCTAAGTAGTCATCCCCACACACGGCCCAGTCACCTCCTTGGCTCACTAATGAGATGACGTGTTCTCTTTCTCTGCTACCTCCCAATTGTGGATGCTTTCAAAACAAACAACAGAAAACCCATCGTCACAGGGCATTCTGACACAGGCTTGTAATCCCAGCCCTTGGAGGCTGACGTGGAAAGACTGCAGGTCAGTGCTTGCCTTGGCTGCACGGTGGGGCTCAAAGCAAGAAGAAATAAAGAACACACACACACACACACACATACAATGTATATGCGTATTGTGGGTAAGACGATGGAACAACATTGTCATGTCTATGTTAGTTACTTGTCTCAACACTCTGACAAAATACCTAATAGAAACAAGTCCTAAACATTCTACGACTTCTCCAAGCTCACCCCAACCTGGCGTCAGAACCTGTGGGGGCAATTCCCTGGCAAAGAGAAACACCTAATGTTGAAGAAGAAACTCTCCATACCCCTGTTGTCATGACTACCAGTTTGGCTTAATCTGTCTGCGACGTTCATCTGACAGTCATAGTGGAAGATGAGGATCGGGGTTATTTTGCTTTTTCTTTTTTTTACTTTGTTCATTGCTAACACATTTGTTGACCACTTATTATTCAGCTGGCCTTACTTCAGACCACACAGGTGCCACTGTGTCTTGCAGTTTTAACACCATCATCAGGATTATCTTTTTTTTTTAAAGTATTTATTTATTTATTATGTATACAATATTCTGTCTGTGTGTATGACCACAGGCCAGAAGAGGGCACCAGACCCCATTACAGATGGTTGTGAGCCACCGTGTGGTTGCTGGGAATTGAACTCAGGACCTTTGGAAGAGCAGGCAATGCTCTTAACCTCTGAGCTATTTCTCCAGCCCCCCAGGATTATCTTTTTAAATGGCTTCCTAATAATGGAATTGCCACTACACCTCAACTTAGGTATTAGGAAGGGGATAAAGAAGTCCAAGAAAGGAGAAGATCTGTTGACATCCTTTGTGGAAAGGTCAGAGGTAGCTTGGCACAGAGGTATACCCCTGTAGTCCCAACCTCAGGGGGCTGAGACAGGAGGACGGATTTGGCTTCAGGTATGGCTGGAAGCAGGTGTTTGGGTGCTACCGAGGATCCATGCCCACTGCCTGGGCTTGCTTTCTCCTGGCTGGCTTCATTTTCATGCATGCTTTCCACAAGAGGCCACACACTGGATACCAGAGTCTGTAGTGTACCAGCTCCGAGTTAAAGCAAGTAAGCGGGGGAGGAAACAAACAAATAAATCCCTCCTTTTTTCAAGGGCTCCAATGAAAAACCTAGACCAGCATTCATTAAAACAGTGGATAGCATGACCATCTCTGGACCGCCCTCTGTGGTCAGGAAGGGATGTGGTCCTCTCATTGCTCTGGCCTTGGTCTCAGGTTCTGCCCATGACCAGTGATTACCAGTAGCTCCATTCGAATTGCATTGGTAGAGAAGAAAGGTGATCCCTTTATGTCTAAATGGGGTACTGCTGACAGAAGGAGGAGGAACAGGAATTTGGCAGGCAGGAACCCTTCCATCATGTCCTTTGTGGGATGTTTCAGCAAAGTTCTGAAGAGACTGACGATGCAGAGGCTTCTGGGAGACCAAGATTCCTTCATCCCATTGGGGCAGCTCTCTCTGATCTAGTTTAAGTATGGTTCTTTCACACGGGATTTTGTTGTATCTGAAGTGAGGACTCTTGGGGAGGGGAGCACTTAGGAGACAGTGAGATCGCTCAGTAGGTAAAAGGGGTTGCTGCCAAGCCAAGGGATTGGGAACCACGTAATAGACGGAGAGAATCAACTCAACGAGTTGTCTACATACACACATAGCAAGTGAGAGCGAGAGAGAGAGAGAGAGAGAGAGAGAGAAAGAGAGAGAGAGAAGGAGAACCAGAAATAAAGGAAATCATAAAGAGATTAAGAACATTTGAAAAGCCGTGGTCATATGTGCCGTCGACCTCCAAATGGTTGAGACTACCCGATGTTCTTCTTTCTCTCCTCTAAGCCTGTTGAGTTGCTGGTTTGTTTTTCTTTCTCCTCCCTCCTCCCCTCCCAGCTTTTCCCCTCAGCACTTCTTGCTCCGACATAAGCACAGAGACATGTGCCTAGGTCAGTATGGTGGGCCAAGATGGGGCAGGACCTCCACTTGGGCTCGCCCTTCCCGTCCCTCTGATCCTGCCAATCAGACCCTCCCCTATTCCATCCTGCCCCTCCAGCTCCCTGAGACCCACCAGGATTTAGGAGGTTTGACTGGGTCCTGATATTGCTGGCCTGACTTCTCTAGTAATGGAGTCCTCTCTCCCTGGCCCAGGTCCTGGCCATCCTGATGGATGTGTTTACAGACGTGGAGATCTTCTGTGACATCCTAGAGGCAGCCAACAAGCGAGGGGTGTTCGTCTGTGTGCTGCTGGACCAGGGAGGAGTGAGGCTCTTCCAGGAGATGTGTGATAAAGTCCAGATCTCTGATACTCATCTCAAGGTAGGGGGCCAGTGACAGTTGTAATGGATGCCCTGTGTCCATCAGATAGGACGGTGGCAGCTCATGCCCCATCTCCATATCTCAAGAAGGGTACTTCTTGCTCAAGTTTCTATATAGGCCATCTAGTCCTCTTCGGTCTTATACTCTACTCTAAGGTGTATGGGGTTGAGTAAGAGGACCGGAGAATTCTGAAGGATATTACTAGGCCCTGACCTGGATGAGGTGTTCTTCATTTCTGTCTATAATCCTTTGACCTGGAAGGAATGGATGTATAGGGCCTGAGGTGTTTCAGGGCACCATGACTAGCCAGTAAAGAGGCTACATTTTTCTCTCTTCCTTTCAGCTTCGGAAACAAAGTTTATATGCCTCATAGCCCAGGGCAACCCCGAGGACCAGGAGGATGTGTCTTGAACTCTCTGAACCCACCAGAAAGTTGATGCTCTTAGTTTAACTAGATCCTCCCCTAGATACACGCAGACTACTTCCCTCTTCTGGCAGGAGAAACACGGAGATAAGAATTTAATTAGCCATGCAAATTTGAGAGCATTGAATCGAGGTCAAAAGGAAAACCAGCCACAACTTTCATGAATAGGTCTGGCTGAACAGCTGAAGGATAATCCTCTGGGTTCCTCTTATATCCCCCTCTCAACTCAGACACATCAGCCTCCAAAATACCGCCCCCACCATACACACACTGCCTGGGAGGCAACTTAGTTCTGGGATTCCTCCTGATACCACTCTCTACAACCAGGGTTTGCCTGATCTTTCCTGGGTCTCTACTCCTTAACCAAAGGCCATTATAATAGATTGAGAGTTCATGCAGGCCTTGCCTTCATGGGCCACACCTGCAGAGCAGTGGCTATGTCCTCTTGCCACTAAGATGCTGGGAGGAGCTTCTAGAGGCACTGGAGTGCCCTTCCTGGAGATTGGAGGCCATAGACAGGCATTGGTGGGGTCCTGGCAGTATTCCACAACCCTTGGCCATAAACCTAAAGGAAATCCCCACGCTTTCCCTGCTTTGACTTTTATAAAGTCTTCCATGGGATCCAGCTGAGGCATGGACACTAGATGCTGCCAGGGAGACAAGATACAAACAGAGTTAAGATTGCGGTCGTGAACACGCCTTTTCTCCAAATGGTCCAGGGTCCACGGTGGCCTTCACAGCAACTGCCTCCTCTTGCTATACGGGGCCAGCTCTCTGGCCAGCTTAGTAAGGAACTCACGCCACTAAAGCCACCTATGGACTTGTTCCTTGATAATTCAAACCCTTTGAGGTCCATGAAGGCCTAGACTAGGGCTCCTTGGTCATCAAACCTCATCTTTCTTTTATTTGCTTTCTTATTTTTTGTTGGAATTCCACCGTTTTTCCCCCATTTACCATCTATTGTCAGAGCAATGGGGAGGGGACTTAGAAAACTAGGCCAACAAAAAATGTAAATAATACAAAATCTCTCCAAGCTTAGATAAAATCTTGGTGAACATCCTTCCAATTTCCTATGCAAATTGTCTCTGCGTGTTTGGGTTGCTATAGCAGACTGTCGTAGACTGGGTGTCCTAGAAACAACTAAGATTTATTTCTCACTGTTCTGGAGGCAGAAAAATCTAAGATCAAGATGTCGACAAATTCAGTGTTTGGTGAGGCTCTCTGCCTTGTTTGTAAATGCCTGTCACGTTGTGTCTTCTTCATATGGCATACAGAATGGGGAACTCTCCAGTCTGTTACAGCGGGCACTAATCCCTTTACGAAGCTTCATCTTTAGGAGCCAATTACCTCCCAAAGGCCGTGGAACCACTGCATTGGAGATTAGGGTTCAACATAGAATGGGGGGACTTGTTCCATCAAAGCCCACATGTTTATCAATAAACACATAGCTAATAAATGTCACCTTCACTTTGCCTCCCACAGAACATTTCCATCCGGAGTGTGGAAGGGGGGGTGTATTGTGCCAAGTCAGGCAGGAAATTTGCCGGCCAAATCCAAGAGAAGTTCATCATCTCAGACTGGAGATTTGTCTTATCCGGATCATACAGGTGAGTACTGGTTTCAGCGGCTATCCCGGCTTCCTGGCAGCGAAGGGCTGAGTGGTACCAGCTGAACCCCAACTGCTCCCAGGGTATATATCTTCTCCCTGTCCCAGAGTTCATCAAATAAATGGAGCAAGAAGTGAGAAATGGGGCCCCTTTCTGGTCCTGAAACCAGACACAGAATTCTCTTTTTACCACTCAAGTCTCTTGGGAATTGTTATAAAGCCATGGATTTGTTGTGTGTTGTTCGACATGATCCGTCTTGCTTTTATTTTTATTTTATGTTGTATGTGTGAGTGCACACGCATGTGTATCGTGTGGGTGACTATTTGTAGAGGTCGGAGGTTGCTTTGTCTTCTTCCTGGCTCTCCCCCTGATCTTCTGAGACAGGGTTTCTCACCACGGTTACACTGGTGAGCTTCCTGACTTTGCCTTCCCTGGGTTGGTTTACTGACATGTGGGACCACACCTGGCTTTTCCACATGGGTGCTAGGGACCCTGAATGAGGCCCTCATTGCTTACACAGTGGGCTGTTCACTAATTGGACATCTCCCCATCCTCTAACCTTTTATGATTTCAGGGCAACCAATGTATTGAGCTTTATTGATTCACACACAGTTCACCTACTTAAATGTGCAGTTTGGTTCTCCTTAGCTTATTTACAGTGTTGCTTAACCATCGTCACCACCGTCAATTACTGTCACAAGATGCCCGTTCCTATTGGCAGTCGCTGCCTTGTTCCTTCAGCACTGTTAGTAACTGGTTCACTAGGCAACCACCGATCTACTTCCTGTTTCAGTGACTTGGTCTCACCTACACTTTCTGTATAAAAAAAAAAAAATGTATGTGGCCTCTTGTGACGGGTTTCTTTCACTAAGCGTAGTGGGTTTTTTATTTGTTTTTTTTTTGTTTGTTTGTTTGTTTTCTTTTTTTCGAGACAGGGTTTCTCTGTAGCTTTGGCGCCTGTCCTGGAACTAGCTCTTATAGACCAGGCTGGCCTCGAACTCACAGAGATCTGCCTGCTTCTGCCTCCTGAGTGCTGGGATTAAAGGCATGTGCCACCGCCGTCGAGCTCAAATTGTACTTTTTATGGCATTGATGTCGCTAATATTTGCATGGCATCTCAATCTACTTGTGTAGTTATAACAAAAATGCCATAGGCTGGGTAGCATATGAATACTATAAATTTAGTCCTGAAGGCGGGAAGTCCAGGGTAAAACTGGTAACCAATGTAGTGCCCAACAAAGGCCTATTTCTTGGCTCTAAGACATTGTCTTTTTATAAGTAGACCTTGATATTTGTCATCTAGAGAAAACCTCAAAAGATCAAAAACTGATTCTTTACTGAGAAAACCTTGGAGTACCACCCAGAAGATTTGTGTTCCATCTCATCTTCAGCCAGCCGATTGTAGAGCAAAGGGGAACAAAATCCGTCACTCACAGTTAGTCTTCCCCATCATAGCGTCTGCCCCTTTGCTCAAGTGGTCCACCTTGTCTCTGAGATTCTGCCTCTTCTCACCAGGATCTCTCTATAGAGTGGGAAGGAAGTCTCCCAGATATCAAGGCCACCGAGACTTTTATTCCGCTTGGGCCTGGTGTTTAGTACTTAGACTGAAGGTTAACTCAGGAACAACATATTAGCAGGGTGTGGGTGCTAAGCTACAGGTAGATTCCTTCCTACACAGCGAAGTATAAATGTGCTTTTATAATACATACTAGGAAATGCCCATAGCATTCTTACTAAGAAAAGCTGTTCACACCCCCCCCCCACACACACACACACATAGCAAAAGGGAAAAGAGAGCTCTCTGGAGTCTTTTTGTAAAGGCTCGCCTCTATTGGTTACTGAGCAAGCTCTCTGAAGTCATTTTTGTAGGGACACACCTCTGTTGGTTACTGAGCAAGCTCTACGTAGTTTGTGTTTGTTTTCTTCTTTGTTTTGTTTTGTTTTGTTTTGGTAAGGGCATGCCTCTATTGGTTACTGAGCAAGCTCCCTGTATCATTGCTGTAAGGACATGCCATCATTGGTTACTTTCCTTTTCTGTATGCATAACAGCTGGTGGGTAGGTTCATCAACTCTCTTGCTGCTGGGACCAAAGACAAAGAGGCCTAAGAGAGGGAAGGCTTGTTCTGGCTCACAGTCAAGGGAAGCCACAGCTGCAGGGCTTGAGGCACCTGGTCACAGTGCACGCACAGCCCAGAAGCAGGGAGTTATGAATGCTGACAGCTGTCCTTCTCCTTTTTCTGTACCCCAGAAACATAAAGGCGCCACCACAGCTAAGGTGGACCGTCCCACCTCCATTAACCTCGTTCAGCTAACACCTCCCAGGCTTGACCACGGTCTTGCATCTTGTGGGATTCACCATCCTGTCAAGCTAACATTAGCCTTCATGGGATCGGGAAGGAGATAGATGCTCACGTTAAATGCAGGGCAGGGATGTAATCCCTTAATGGCTGACCCCTCCCCAGCAACTGCCTTTCTAGCTTGGTCCCAATTTCTAAAGGCTCCACAACCTCCCAAAATAATGCCACCATCTGGGGACCAGAATTCCAACAGAGGAGGCCCTGGAAGGCATTTCTGATTCAAATCATGAAAGGCACTTAAACCCTTGAGAACTAATCACTGTCTGACACCTCCCCACCTCCCACCCCCGGTCTCATTAAGGGTTGGGATTTTTAAATTGTGAATTCAGGAGAGACATTAACACCGAGTTCTAACACAAACCTCCCTTTTCCCAGATCCTTTGTATTAGCCGGCGTTCTTACAGCGAACTATCAGAGGCTACTGTGAAACCAGACAGGAGCCATGTTGTGTTGTTAAGGGGCCATGCTGTTAGATGCTGTTATTAAGGCTACATCTCTTACAAGAATAAGTTTCTGTTTCCTAAGCCTAATGTATCCTGAAACAATGTGTGATTCTATGGCGTGTGGCCGCCCCTTGCTAAAAACTCCTGCACCTGTGAGATACGATTGCCCTTTCGCCTAACGAAAATGTGTCTACCCACAAACCTTCCTGAGGCCCCTTCCATGTCATGTGGTCTTGCTCTTAGCTACTCCAGGTGCAGTAGCCTGAAGTCCTGCATTCCCCCACCCCCCAGCACTATTCCTTCCAGGTGCTAACAACCAGTTATCCTCAGCAGCTGTTCCATATCAACGCTAACCCTTCCCCAAGAAAGGGACTTCAAAACCCAACGAGGAGCTGCCCTCTGAAAGCCCGGCTTTGGGAGAGGCGGCTGGCTGGCCAGTTCTAAATACAGCTTGCTTGCTTTCCTCAGACAATCATGGAATTGGTTTGGTTTGGTTTTTTTTGTTTTTTTCCAGGTCTAACCCAACTAACTTTATACAGAGAAAAGTTGTATTTGGTTCACAGTTTGGGTAGATTATCTTGGCCCCTGGTGAAGGAGGTAACGGGTAACGGGTGTGAGGGGAAGCCAGAGCTCACATCAGAGACCTGGGCGAGAACCAGAGGAAAGGAGGAGTCACGCTGCCTGTTGATCACTGTTTTAGTCGTGTAGAAGATCCTTTTGCTTGTGTGCATGTGTGTATCACGTGGTGCCTGGAGCCTCGAGAGGCCAGAAAGGGCATCAGATCCCCTGAACTGGAGTTAAAGGAAGCTGTGAGCCACCATGTGGTCCTCTGGGAAAGCGTCCAGTGCCATTTCTCCAGCTTGCCCACGATAGCTCCCAGTTACCTAAGGTTCTCTCCTTAAGCCCCACCTCCTGTAGTTTGTTCCCTGCTATAATATCAGTCTGCAGAGCAAGCAGTCCTTAACGTATGCGTCTTTGGCAGACATATCCAAACTATAGCTCAAATGTTCAAATTTTCTGTTATATTTAGACAGTTGCCCTTGATTCAAAAATATGCCTAAAGTAGGAAGGCGTCTGTAGTTGGGCTCTTTATTCCTAGTATTATTATTAGTAGTAGTAGTACATTAAAATTCACATAACGTGAAATTAATCATTTCAAAATGTTTGACTCAGTGGCGTTTATTAGAGTCATAACCCTGCACAATCATCACCATTTAGTTATGAAATTTTTTCATCACCCCCCCACAACAAAACTCCATACCTGTTAAGAAATCACTTTCATTTCCCTTCCTCCCCAGCCCTAGCGGCCACTAGGCTGTATTTTGTATGAATTTACTTCTCTAGGCATTTTATAAATGAGCCAGGCACTACCTGGTATTTTGTGACTGGTTCTTTTTATTTAACGCAGTGTTTTGGGGATTCTACCAGCTGTGACGTGCCTCAGTGTGTTACCCCTCTTAGAGCTGAGCAGTGTTCCACCGTGTGGATGTACCACAGCTTGCTCGACCATTCGCCCTCTCGCAGGGATGTCCCTGTCCCCAGCATCTAATGGCAGAAGGTCTGGAAGTCTCACTCTCTGGTCCTTTCCTTTTCCAACCGGGGCTCTGCTTCCGTGGAAGCCGAGGTGATTTAGCTAATGGCTGAAGAGCTCTAACCTAAAATAGAAATAGAGAAAGCACAAAAAAAAAAAAAAAGAAAAAATGTGCCTTTTAGAACCCATCAGCGGCTCTCCTTCCGCATGACCAGTTATTGCAGGGATGATGAAGAAGATGGTCCTGAAAGCATTGTGTCCCACCAGGGGTCCCTCGCTGGGGGAGAGGCAGGATGAAGCTACGGTACCAGAGAAGGGTCTCACCCCCCAGAAAGTTCTGATTATCTATCTTACTATTGAATCATCTGTGTAAGCAAGGGCACAGGGAAACCCCTGAAGAAGACTTCTCTGTTTATTGGGTTTAGTGGGTCAAACTGCCAAGACTGTCTCTCCTTGTCTGTGTGTGTGTGTGTGTGCTCGCAGGTGTTAGGGGAGTGGGGTACAGGCCAGCATAGCCTGGAGGTGGCCTGGGGACTTGGATCTGTTGCAGGCTTGCTTGAGTTCATTGCTGGAGGTCATTGTCGGCAGGGCACAGACAAGGGAAGTAATGACTTTTTCCAACAGACACCAGCTTCCCACGGTTTCTGGGGAATGCTGAGTTTAGATTTT